TGAAAAAAAAAAAAGAAAATAAAAAGGACATCCCATTTTGTAAGACCAGTTACTTACTGATCTTATTGCTGCTTTTCTCCAGGGCCCCTTGTCTCCCATTATGTGTTTCCAACAAAATATGTTGTAATATTTAACTCTTTTCTCAAGAACCATATTATTTCATACGGGAATTATCATAGTAATATTGGTTGTCCAAAATATTTGAACTAATAGTTTAAAAGTGCTTTGCATACTTTCGGTTATTAGGAAATGTTTGGCTAAGGTTTAGGTTCAAATTTCTAGAATTACAAAACAAAAAAATCACATCAAAACAGAACAAAAATAAATGAAAAACATTAAACAAACGCCATGTTATACTGCTTTCTTCCTTCATACTGCTGAATCTTGTTTATATACTCAGTAGCCTCTGAAGTGGGCTTATCTAGGTGAAGAATTCCAGAATCAGTTTTTTATTTAAAACTTAAGTGTATACTATGACTCAGTAAATAGTAATAGCATTTTCACCTCTTTTGCCAACAAAGGCCTGCAACTTGGCCTTTGTTTTCAAATAGAAGGAAGCAGGTTCAAAAATAGATGATGTGTACTATTATTATTTTTCATATATGTTCTTATTTAGAAGACAAGAATATTTTAAGTCCATCATAAACTTTATATAAACACAACCTACAATGAAAAGCATGACTGCTATATATTAAAATTGCAACAGTGTTAAGAATTTCAGAAATATGCTCTATACAAAATAGTAATTTAAAGCTGTCGAAACTGCATGCCAGAAAGCAAACTGGGATTTCAGTATGATGATCTGTTACTAAATGCTGTTTCATGAGTGTGAGGACAGCATTATATACTGATTTTTTTTAATAGCGCTATGATTTCCTGTTTATAATTTCAAAGGTCACAGTTAAGTACAGAAGGTTAATAAACCAGGGCATCTTGCTTGCTCTCCTTTTAGAAACAAAAGTTCTGCCTTTTAAAAAGTTAAATCTGAAGTTATACGGCCTTAGGGCTTTGGTGAAGGTGACTGTATAAAATGAAGAACTTTTTTTCCTTCTATTTCTGATACTTAAAAAGCAAAATCCTCTGATTACAGATTCTTCTTAGTAACAGTTCCATAGTATTCCATTTATCTTTAGAGACTCAGAACAACCTCAACATTATAAAAAAACATGGCAACATTTAAAAAAAAATTGCATTAGAAGTCACTTAGCCAGCTAGCTAAGCAGCATTCACTATGTATCAGACACATTATTACTAGGTATGAGAAATGATTAATTGAATAAAACAACCCATTTAAAAAAATATGAAACAATATTTTTATTAAAGACCAAAATATTTTAGAAAGGGGTCATAAATTCTTAGTTTTCATTTTTAAAAAATTTATCTGAACCAAGATCTGCTAAGTATTTCATTATTTCGCACAGCAACAAAGCTGGATGGCTTATTTAATTAAAATATATTTATATAGGATGCAGATAATTTCAATATGTAATTTATTAAGTATTCTATATTACACTTTGACTTAAGAAATACAGCCTCAGAAAATATCACTACTTTTGAAATATTTTTATTATTTGCATGAAATGAATTTGTTGAAATTTTTTCAAGGATGAAAAATGTGTTTTACAAAGCATGTTTAAATTTTGTCACAGATGGTATTCATCTTTTTTTTTTTTTTTTTTTTTTTTTTTTTTTAAATTATACCTTAAGTTCTGGGATACATGTGCAGAACTTGCAGGAATGTTGCATAGGTACATAAATGCCTTGATGGTTTGCTGCCTCCATCCCCACATCACTACACCAAGCATTTCTCCCAATGTTATCCCTCTTCAACCTCCCCATCCCCTGCTATCACTCTCCCAGTCCCCCACTCCCCAACAGACCACAGTGTGTGATGTTCCCCTCCCTGTGTCCATGTGTTCTCATTGTTCAACACCCACCTATGAGTGAGAACATGTGGTGTTTGGTTTTTTGTTATTTTGTCAGTTTGCTGAGAATGATGGTTTTCAGATTCATCCATGTCTCTGCAAAGGTCATGAACTCATCCTTTTTTATGGCTGCATAGTATTCCATGGTATATATATGCCACATTTTCTTTACCTAGTCTACCATTGATGTGCATTTAGGTTGGTTCCAGGTCTTTGCTACTGTAAACAGGGCCGTAATGAACATACATGTGCATGTGTCTTTATAATAGAACAATTTATAATCTTTTGGGTATATACCCAGTAATGGGATTGCTGGGTCAAATGGAATTTCTATTTCCAGATCCTTGAGGAATCACCACATCGTCTTCCATAATAGTTGAACTAATTTACACACCCACCAACAGTGTAAGTTGAATTAGTTTCCTATTTCTCCACATCAAGCAATGGCAACAAAAGCCAAAATAGACAAATGGGATCTAATTAAACTTCAGAGTTTCTGAACAGCAAAAGAAACAATCATTAGAGTGAACCAGCACCCAAAATAATGAGAAAAAGTTTTCGCAAGCTACTCATCTGACAAAGGGCTAATATCCAGAATCTACAAAGAACTAAAGCAGATTTATAAGAAAAAAACAACCCCATCAAAAAGTGGGCAAAGGATATGAACAGACACTTTTCAAAAGAAGACATGTATGTGGCCAACAAACATATGAAAAAATGCTCATCATCACTGGTCATTAGAGAAATGCAAATCAAAACAACCCCTTTCCTTAAGAAATTCTCTCTAAGCAGCAGGAATGGCAATGAAACCAGACTGCTGTACCACACAACAACAGAAATACACACAAAGTGAAAGGGCCTGTTAGAATAGGTGGTAAGTAATTCTTCTGGGGATAGAGCAGAAGTGCCAGGGAAAGTTTCCTAGAACTACTTACATAAGAATTAGGTGTTGAGGGAAGAGTAAGTGTTTGTTCAGGTGGGAGAGATGCTATGTTTAAAAAACCTGATGTAGGCAAGGAGGCATGAAATTGCTATGTTTGGGATTCAGTTTAGCTGGTAAAAAAATAAAAAAGGTACATGGTAAGTGGAAGATACAGAAGCAACAGAGGGGTAGTTAGAGTACAGATCACAAGGATCTTGTATACCATGCAGGGAAGTCCAATTAGATAAGCATTTTAGAAAGGTCATTGGTTAGAGTGCAGAACAGGACTTGAAGGAGGTGAGGCCAGAGGCAGGGAGTCTGTTATGATTTGAATGTGTTTTTCCCCCCAAAAAAACCCAGGTTGAGGTTTGGTTACTAACGTAATGGTATCAAAAGGTGGTGAGGCCTTTAAGATTTATTTGGGTCATGAGGTATCTTCCCTCATGAAGGAATTAATGCAGTCTCTTGGATGTACTTTCTCACTCTAGCTAAAATGAATCAGTTACTGCCAGAACAGGCTGGTAAAAGTGGGTCTCCTCCTTGTGTTTGGTCTGTCTTTGCAAGCATCCGTTCCCTTCTGCTTCTCCATGTTGTGATGACGCATGATGGAGCTGAGCAGATGCTGGCGTCAGGTTTCTTGGATTTCCTAGCCTCCAGAACCATGAACCAATGAAACCTCTTTTATAAATAAATTACTTAGTCTCAGGTATTCTGCTCTAATAACGCTAAATGGACTAAGACAATATCCAAGTGAGTAATAATAAAAACCTGAGGCTGGGCGCAGTGGCTCACACCTGTAATCCCAGCACTTTGCTGGGGGCTAAGGCAGGTGGATCTCCTAAGGTCAGAAGTTCTAGACCAGCCTGGTCAACATGGTGAAACGCCATCTCTACAAAAAACATAAAAATTAACAGGGTGTGGTGGCGGACGCCTGTAGTCCCAGTTACTGGGGAGGCTGAGGCAAGAGAATTGCTTGAACTTGGGAGACGGAGGTTGCAGTGAGCCAAGGTGGAGCCATTGCACCCCAGTCTGGGCAACAAGAGTAAAAATTCATTAAAAAACAAAACAAAACAAAACTGAAATGACAAGTATTTTGCAGAATATATTTTTTAAAGTGGAAATGCTTAACCAATAATTTTAATACATGTTGCCAAATGTGTTTCTCAAAAGGATGTATTACTTTTAGTGCCCACAACAACAAATAAGACTGCCTGTCCATGTATTCACATCCTCTCCAACAACAGAGATATTTCTGATTCACCTAAGCACAATAACCATTAAATTTCAGAGTTCAATCTTCCAAATCATTCATGATAAAAATTATCCACTTAATCAAGCATCCACCAGAAAAGATATTAGTAATAACTACAGTGAAAGAAAAGCAAACAATGGATGAAAATGAAAGCAAATTCATCAATAACCATGACGTAGTAAATGTGCTTATACTCTGAAAATAAATGTGGTCATTTTAAAAACACCTAATTCATCATTTCCTTCTTGAAAGAGATTCTTCACAAAGTTTCCTATTCTTGGTTCTTTTTCTCCTTCACTGGCTATCTTTTACAGTCTCTTTTACTTATTCTTCTTTATCTCCCTAAAATCAAAATTTTAGTGTGTCTTGAGGCCCTCAGACTAAGATAACATGATTAATCATGGACATACTACCAAAAGGCCCTATCTGAGAATATGGAAACAGACTCTGATGGAGAGTCCACCAAGCTGACTTGGAAGAAAGAAAATGGAAAGTTATTCAGTACAAGTAAGTTACCATTTCTTCAAGGTTCAGCCTAAGGGCAACTGCAATCAGCATGGTTTAGGAGCAGTGCCAGAGCTATCCCTGAAAAAATGAAGTAGCAGATTCAAAGCATCTTACTGAAAGACAAAAGATCTAAACTGAGACTGGAACTGCTGTCTAAGAAACATAGTTTGAAGTTAAAACCTAGTCAAGAAAATTTATTAAAACAGTCACTTATTTGAGAAAAATAACCAAATCCAGAATCTGTGGAAGTTTATAATGTCCAGGGTACAGTCCAAAATTACCCAGCATATGAACAGGAAAGAAAACAGAACATTTTTTCTTCTCCATAAGCAAAAATGGCTATTATCACTATCCTTGATGGTGTTCAAAAAAATTCCTCTCAAAGAATGAAAATATTATCAGAGAAATAAACTATCGCAGCAGAGAAACAGAAACAATAAAGAAGTTTTAATTGATTCAGCCACAGAACATTAATCACTGTTCTCACTCATAGGCGGGTGTTGAACAATGAGAACACATGGACACAGGGAGGGGAGCACTACACACTGAGGTCAGTTGGGGGGAAATAGGGGAGGGATGGTAGGAGGTGGGGAGCTGGGGAGAGACAGCAAGGGGAGAAATGCCAGATGTAGGTGATGGGGAGGAAGGCAGCAAATCACACTGCCACGTGTGTACCTATGCAACAATTTTGCATGTTCTTCACATGTACCCCAAAACCTAAAATGTAATAAAATAAATGGGGGAAAAAAAAAGAAAGATTACAGGATATTCACATAATCTCACAGTATCATTTCACAGATTACTTAGTAACTGTAAACAGAAGATACCTTTACAATGGGGAAATCTGGCATATGGCACTTAAGTGCTGGAACTCAGCAATGATAGTAAAGGAACAAACATGGGTATATGTAATAGAATAGTGGATATTGTAACAATAGTGATACAATGCATTATTATTATATTGTAGTATTACAATTTTCTATAGGTTTGAAATATTTTTTAAAAAGTTGGAAGGAAAAGTATACGTACAGTATTATTAAAGATTATGAAACACAAAAGAAAAAGAAAGCTAAAAGAAAGATTATTATACATCAGGGAGGGAAGAATTAAAGTAGCTATCTTGGGATCTATTCACTTCCTTAACCAGGAGGAAACTCTAGGAAAGGGAGGTGATCCAGTTTAGTTTTCCTGTTAATATGCTGATAAGTGGTCCCTCTGGTAGATGAGATAATGAGTTTTTGTTAGGAGGAAGGTCCTTATCTGAAGAATGCTCTTAGTAGGCTGTCCCTTGCTAATAATGCTTACAATAAACAAATCCAAAATCTATGGGTTTATGAAACCTGGCACAATGGAGAATATCATGCAAGCTACATAACCTTGGGATATTAAATGGAGAAGTTTCAAAATGTAAATGTCCCTGATATGAGGTAATAACCAGACTTCCTCATTTGGAGACTCTGGGCTGGAAAGTACATGTCTGATGGGCAAAGGAAGGACCTGTGGAATTACATAAGAGTCCCAGATTGCTCTCCTTACTTCACCTGTTCCATTTGACTACTTGCATTCTTACAGTTATTAGTAAAGCTGATTCTAGGTAAGATATCTAACACATTGAATCTGATTTGATAACATGATTATTTGTACTGGCTCACAAATAAAACTGTCAGAAATAATTATAGTGTAAGATTAAAGATACTTTTAATACAACTACTTTCATAGAATAAATGAACAAAATGTTACATTGACATAGCTAATTAACACGGTACAGTGTACTCACAGGCTATAATAAAGTATCTTTTACCCTATGGAGAAACTTGTTTTAGCATTCATAGGAAGAAAACTTACCAAAATCACAGTATGTGAAACTACAGGAAAAAAGCTTAATAACTTTCAAAAAAGCATATAAAACCAGACATCACAAAATTCTAAACAGTATATGAATATATATGATGATAAACCTCTAATCTAAGGGGTGTATGCAGCCTAGAATACTTCCGAACATGTCTTCTGATCATTTTGTTTCTGGCTTCAGCTGTGCAGAAGCCTGAAACAAAGTGGTCCTAACTGCTGATTATAAATTCAAAGGATTATTTTTCTTTAAGACTCTCTATCATCCAGTCTGTAGTGGCGTGGCGTGATTTTGGCTCACTGCAACCTCTGCTGCCTGGGTTCAAGCAATTCTCCTGCCTCAGCCTCCCGAGTAGCTGGGATTACAGGCACCTGCCACCATGCCCGACTAATATTTGTGTTTTTAGTAGAGATGGGGTTTCACCATCTTGACCAGTCTGGTCTTGAACTTCTGACCTCGTGATCCACCCACCTCAGCCTCCCAAAGTTCTGGGATTACAGGCTTAAGCCAGTTTGCCTGGCCGGATGGTTTTAATAATAGATTTCAGAATGTAAAACTAGGGGAAGAATAAAACAAAAGGAGAAAGAATTTTAAACTAGAGAAGTAAGAGGTAGCAGGCAGAACAAGGTCTCAAGGAAGAATACAAAAATTCTCATTTTAAAGAATATTTAACATAGGAAGAAGTAACAACCTTAGAGAGGAAGAGATTAAAAAAGAATACAGATAGGCTGGGCGTGGTGGTTCACACCAGTATTCCCAGCACTTTGGGAGGCTGAGGTGAGTGGATCACCTGAGGTCAGGTGTTTGAGACCAGCCTGGGCAACATGGCAAAACCACATCTCTACTAAAAACACGAAAGTGCTGGGTGTGGTGGCAGCTGTCTGTAGTCCCAACTACTCAGGAGGCTGTGGCAGAATTGTTTTAATCTAGGAAGCACAAGTTGCAGTGAGCAAGACTTCACAGTGACTGAACTCCAGAGGCAAAACTCCATCAAAAAAAAAAAAAAAAAAAAAAAAAAGAATTCAGATATAGGTTACTGTAATATATTTAGCTGTGAAAAATTAAAGGATCTGAAAATATGTTGCACATCTTTGGGCCCCTCTTTTCCCTAGATGGCAAATTTCATGTTTATTAAATTATCTCCTCCAATATCTAGGAAAGTGAGTCTGGATATATCATAGGATGTTCACAACTTACTGAAGCAGTAAACTAAAGTGGATAACATAATTAGCTTTATAGTCAGTTATAAGCTGCTTTATTTCTCTAAGCTTGGGTTTCATATTTTGTAAGATAGGAATAAAAATGATATCTACCTAGTGAGACAGTAAATATAAAACACATACTGCCAGGCACATAGTAAATGCTCAGTAAAAGCTAGTTATTACTATTATTATCGAGTAAGAGATTTGTTGCACATTTTGAGTAATTTCAATATATGCTTGCATTTTACCATTTCCTTCTCCAGCTGTAACTTACTGATCTGTAAATGTTGATAAGTTAATTTAACTTTAACTTTCAAAGAAAAAGAAACTGTTTTAGAAGCCAGTATTTATACTAATATCAAAGTTAAAAGTATGGACACTATTAAAAAGGCAGCAAAGACTTGGGTTTCATACACCATAGTCTATAAAATTAGAACCTATGATTTTATAGTATCATAAAGATCAGGCCAATTTTTTTTCTTGGTTGGCCAGAAAAAAACAAACTCCCGTTTCTAAAAATACTCAGGTTTTCTTCACAAAGAAGTCATCCTGCAACAAAACACCCTATCATTATAGAAAGCAAGAATAGGACAGTATGTCATCAATAAGACTATAAAAATGCAGTGGTATCTGAGCCAAGGAAAAAATTTCTCTGGGAAAATAAATAAGTAGTGGTTTTATTCTCCAAATTTGAGACTGAGAGTTTGTTTTGTCATGATTTCTTTGATACTCCCAATTAGGTAATAACCACTTCCTAAGAAAATTACAAACGACTTTTTAGTTAAGAAAAATGCTGTTATGTATTTACTTCATTTAGAAAAGACGACAAAATTTGTAAAAGAACCATAAATGAGGAATGAAATTTGACACCTAAAGAAAGCAAATATATAGCCTTTCTAGTACTCTTTTTATTCTAGTACTCTTTCTATATTTAAATTTATTCCAGTTTTTAAAAGGCATTACAAAAGAAGTTGAAGTCAGAGCAGCCAACCCAGCATACCCTAACTCCTACCACAAACTCAAGACATATACATACTATGAATTTTATGAATTCCAGAAATACATAGGCTATGAATTTGGCTTTCTATAGTGCAACAATTCCATAGTGAGCTTATATGATCACAGGGAAAAACAGAACACAAATCCAACCAAACCAAACCAAACCATGGCAGTGATGTAGTAATCTTGTAAACCTACAAACTTTCTCACTGAATCTCAAAGATCTCCCTTTGCTGATGAGATTCAAAAACAGAAACAGAAAACAGGCTTTACATTTAGATAAAAAATGACAACTTTTCTAATTAATCAAATTCATTATCAAAATTTACAAAAGAGAAGTATTCTATAGATTGCGTATCTTTTGTTTGCAAACTCTTCATACACTGCATACAAGTTTGTTATATTCAATAAACCATGGAAAGAATGTAGTGTTTGTGTGTGTGTGTGCGCGCGCGCGTGTGTGTATAAATTTGTTTATTCCAGTTTTTAAACAGTATTAGAAAAGAAGTTAAAGTCAGAGTAGCCAACTATATATTGCATGTGTTTACGTATGTATATGTATAGATATGTATGTATACACACACACACACACACACACACACACACACACACACACACTGCATTCTTTCCATGGTAAAATAAAATCAGCAATTATATAGTAGCAGAAAGCCTCCGAATAATTTAAGACTCCAAAAATGACTATTCAGAAGAAATTACAGGGAAAAATTTAGGTAGGCAATGTAATTTAGTAAGAACCTTGGTTAAGAGAAAGTGAAAGAGATAAATTGTAACTTCCTATCTTATTGCTATTCTCAAAGCAAAATCTCTAAAGATTTTATTTCTCATAGGAATATCATTTACAAAAGATACATGAAAAAGCCTAAATGAATCTACAAACTACAGAGACACAAATGATCATTAGCAGTCAAATACAAAATACTTCTTCTTCCTGAATGACTGGATAAAAAGGAGATTACAACTTTGAGAAAGAAAAGTTGTATCAGATGGATTCCATGAATTTTGTAATAGTGTTCAGGGGCGATGGATGAACACAAGAAACAAATATACTTCATATTAAAGAGTCATTTCCTAGATGTTTTTATTCAGATTAGCCGGGATTAATTTGTCCTATTAAACACTTTACTATCCCTTTAAAAAGAAGAAACGGTGAGAAGCTTTGATAACCTAACTCAATTAAAGTATTGTTAGAGAGCTTTCTTTCTCTTTTGCCTAATTCAAAACTTGGAAAGTTATACCAAAATGTAATAGGCAAACATGCATGCAAAATGACCCTACAATTAAGAAAATTGCTGGTACCAAATGTTGTTTTTAAGTTCTACAGTAAAACAGTCTCCTAGACATTTAATGTCATGTCATTTGGTAAATGAAAGTTTCCACAAAGTTAGAGCAGTGAGAAGACCTAAAAATTATGCTAGTGAAGAGTCTGACTCAAGAAAATAAAAATATGGGAACACGTTGCTCTAACACTTATTTTATTTGAAGTTACTACAGAACTGAATAAAATGCCGACACCACTACATAAAAATTTATTGAGCTGGCAACAAGGAAAGCATGATGTCAGCCACCAATATCACCATCTACATTCCCAAATAGTGCGAAGACTTTAATTCCTGAACTGCCTTCATGCTAAAGTTACAGTAAAAATAAAAACTTGAGGCATGAGGCATTACTAAACATAGATGAATTTAGTTTGGCAGAGTTTTGACTCCAATTAGCCTAGTATTTCAACAAATTCAGTCAAAAACATGGAAAAATGTAAGCTTAAACATTACAATTTTCTAAACGTGCTACATTCTTCACCAAACGGGCTGATACAAGATGTCTTAGGCAACTCTCAGGAATATTCAAATAAGCAATACCACACACAAACAAAATGCAGGATAACAGATACTCAAAAACATATGCACATACACACCCACACAAGTTCTTACCTTCATAGCATGGATTTCTTCAAGCAATCGTTGTGCCCGTCTTTGGTTTTTTAACAGTGCATCTTCAGTACCCCTGCAAAAAATACATTACGGTATGTAGCCAGGCAAAGCATTAATTTTAGGTTCATATCACAAAGGATAATCATTTCATTTCCTTTAGAAAAGCATAATAAATCTCTAAATAACAAACACTCCACTATCCTACGCTCCCCATTTCCCCCACTCCCAAAAAGCACCTTGATTTCATAACCAAACCCACATGTTAGAAACTGGCAAAAATAAGTACTGTCTTGGCATTGTATTAATGACTATTACTTTTGATAGTTTGCTTTCTCTAGTTCCTTAATAACACTTTTCCTAATCAATCAAGCAATCAATAGTAATTATATTTAATGTAATATAAATTTCATAAGCTATATTTAGAGGTTGGATATAGTTTTACCAAATGAAAATTTGCTATCTGGAATTTAAGGAAAAAATAAAGAAGGGCTATATTCTGACATATTTATGAAAGAATAGGAAATTAATCTGGAACAAAACATGTTTGAAGGCTAAACATTCATGCTTAAATTATAAGAACTATAAATAGAATACTTTTTGTTTACTAACACTAGTGATATTGAAAATACAATTATATTTTTCTAAAAAAATATGTGGAACACAATCTTCTAATAAACACTTTCACAAGGTACTGAAGATTTCAAATCACTCAGCAATTGAAGAAAAAAATCTGACATAAAATCTTCAAAACTGATTCTTAAGGTATTACTAGATTTGTTAAGCTATATCAGTATCTTAAAATAACTTCTAATAACATAAAACACATAAGCCCAAGAAAATTTCATTCTGAAAAGACCAAAAAGAGAATTTTGCAAAAGTAGCAGAAAAATTCATCCTGAATCTTAAGCAATGATAGTCCAATCCACAGAAGGGCATGCTGACACAGCACATTCTATCTCACTCACATAATCTCTACATATAAAACAAAAATGCTGTATGAGTAACATAATTACTTCTCTATATCCAACCCTTAAAATTTTAAAGTACCGAATAAAAACAACTTTTGAAATTTATTAGTCACAAGGTCATTGCTTAACATGACTAACTTTTTTGACTTCAGTCTGCCAACACTCCTGACAAGTTTTCGGATAACCAAAACTCGAATTCTCTTCACTTCTTTTCTCATCTTCACAACCTTTGAAGAATAAAGCCATAATTAGAAGAAAGATACTTACTTCAGGAACAAACACATTTTATTTTGAGTCTTAATATTATAGACTTAGTCTACCACTTTAACTACCCTTTTCGTCAACCTATATTCCTAGCTTGATAAAATCAAACGTCTTCCATAAATAGTGAAGGAATAAATCATCAGTTTAAAAATGTGTCTGAGGGCTTAAGAAAAACAAGTTATAATTTTTTAAAAAGTCAAAGTATTACCAAAGATAAGTCATTTAATGTTACACTTACATCTTGCTAGGCTTGAAATATAAAAAACTGTGAGTTCCCTGAAATCAGAGCCTATCGTATTCATCTTTGTATTCTTACCATTCAAAAAAAAGCCTCACTCATAATGGTAGAAAATTTGCTGAATGAGTGTTTTAATTAGCAAATTAGCTTTTAATTAACAATTTATTTTACTTATTTATAAAACAAACCTTTCATTATTTTTACTAATAAATTATTTCAAGTATAACTTTAAAAGAAGCTCCACAAACACAAGGGCATGTTGTGTAAGCATGTGTGCATGTAAACATAAATGTTCACACACAAACACGCATGCAGACACATACAAATATACACTTTAAATCATCCTACTAGAGATCAATGTTTAACTCTAAGAACAAAAAGCAGAGCTACAGGCCAAGAAATGGAAATTCTAGTTATAAAAAACTATACATTATAATAGCATTCAGTACAATCGCATGTAATCACTGAGTTTATGTTTCACCTATCACAGTTAGGAGGCATACATCTTAAAATTACTCCTGGAATGTCCTTCTTTCCCTTCTTCACTTTAGGAACTACATAAAATTCAGTTCCGACACAGTCCTTCGAGTGAAACCTCCAATGACTTCTTAAGTTAGAGATAACCACTGGGGTGCCACTATACTTTACAGATTCTGTTACTAAAGCACCTACCTCATTGCATTGTTACTAGCTGCTCATGTGGCTGATTTTTTCTATAGACAGTGAGCTCCTAGAAAACGGACTCTTGTAATATTTATATAGTGTTTTCAGTGTCCTGCAACAGGACCTGGCACACATTATTCCTCAAATTCTTCTTGCCAAAATAACATTATCAACATCATCCTGTTAGTGATAATATCTTCTCTTACCTTTCATGTCATTCACTCCCTGATTCATTGAAGATATTGGCAACCAACTTAAAAATTCTTTATATGCTAAGTTCTGCCATCATTCTGGGTGACTTAAATATCCACTTGAATAGCCCATCTGGTAATTATATATTCCCTTCTTTACTTATTTTCTAAAGACTTAATCTATTCTATCTCAGCCATCCACTTCCGTGGCCACGCTATCGGCCTTGTCATCATTCCTAATATTCAATTTCTAAAACTATTAATTCAAATATTCCACACTGTGATCACAACTTCTATCAGCTCGTTTGTTCAACTCTACCCACTACAACCATCTTTGACTTCATTTGGACCACCAGTCCACTAACTCCTACACTTTATGTTCTTCCGTTATGCAGTTTAGATACATGATAAACATTTGCCAATATCTTAAACTCCTATCCCTTTGGTTAGCAAATCTTAGTCTTGAATGCAAAAAACATCTGAGTTCTTCGTTATCATATGCCAATAGCAAATACTTGCAAAATTCTGTCTACTAAAAATTCATCATAATTAACCTCAAGTGGACTCCCATTCTTCCTAGCAATCCTATAATATTCTTCTGGTCAATTCACTCTACGATGCCTGTTTTAAACTTTTGCCTACTCTCCTAAATCCTCTTGTCTCCCTCCTCTCTGCTCTCTTTCGATAGCGTGGAGGAAATAATTATCAGTTGGGAACCATCATTTTTCTACTAACATGAATGCAAATTTACTTCCATGACCCATTTTCCTTTATGAATAAAGTTACAATATAAGAAATACTGCTACACATATCTAAGGTTAATCTTTTAACTGTCTTCTGGAGCCCATTCTCTTCTGCCCTCCCAGAACTTTGGATTATCCCTTTACTATAGCATTGCCATTCTTTTAGTTTTAATGCATTTGGTTCTCAGTGATTATTTTAAACATGCTTGGGTCATTTTCATTAGAGACTAAATACAAAAACATACTCATTACATAGTTAACTAGGACCACCCCATTTTTAGTTGTGTGGAGAGCTAAGCTTTTAGAAAGAGATGTTCAAAGTCAGTATCTCTATTTCTGCATGCCACACAAAGCCAGTTTGATTTTCATCCTCATCGGTCTACTAAAAGATGTCACTAAGGACACCAACGATTTCAAAAAAAAAAAGCCCCTGAATCCAAAGGAAATTTGACATTTTTGACCACTTTTTCTTTCTTCAAACATTCTTCCCTTGGTTTTCCAAGACAGAATATGGCCCTAGTTTTCTTCTTTCCTTTCTACTCACTCTATTTTGATCTTCTTTGAAAATTAATCCACCTCTACCTAGCCATAAAATGTTTAGAGTTGAAGGGGCAGTCCCAAGCCAGTGTTTCTTTTCACAGTACACTGTTTAGCTTTAAGAGCTCTTACGTGTGCATATTTAATTTGCCACCTAAACATAGAGGAATCAAAAATTTTACTTTCAGCTGAGATCACTCATTTTAGCTCCAAGCCTAGATGTGCAACTTCCCGCTTGACATTACTTTGAGTGTGCTCAAAGTCACCTCAAATTCACACCTAAACTCATGTTCTTCACCTCCAACAGGACCATTCCCTTCTTTTTTGGGAGAGGGGGTTTCATATTTCAGGGAATGGAACAATCCTTTTAGTTATAAATCTAAGGGTCATTAGCGGTAGCTCTCTTAATCCTTCACAATGAATCTCCAAGTCCTATTAATCTTAAATGCTAATTATCTTTCAAATTGTACCACTTTTTTTTTGCACTATCTTGACCTTTTTACAATCTTGGCTGAGTTACTGTTAACTGGTTTCTCTACACCTATTCCTGCCTCTCGCTAATCAGTTATCCACGATGCCATCAGGATAAAAAAAATTTTTAAATATATATCCGTTGTCACACTGTTATGTAACTCTCTTCAACAGTCCCCAACTGCTCTAAGAAGAATCACATTGGCCTTCTTTCAGTCCCCTGTTCTTACCATGCTCACTTGTACTACAAAGCCTTTACAATACCTGCCATTTCTAATGGTCAGATGTTCTTTCTTCTCATGTCAGCTTGTTAACATCTATTCATCCTGATTTTGGACCAATTGTCATTTCTGTGAAGAATCTTTTCTGGCCTCCCTGAGAGGGTCACAGATACCTTTAGTTGGTGCCTTAATACTTTACTTTTAATCTGATTCTGCTTAATATGTCTTATCCCAGTAGGTTTTAAATTCCATGAAGGTCAAGTACCTGGTTTTATTCAACACTACATCTTAACACCTAACATAGTGCATGGCACACAGTATGTGTCTTGTAAATATTAGTTAAATAAATGACCAGAAATGTAAAAATACACACTGTCAATTCATTGTTTCAAATGCAAAACAGAATTTAAAAATGCAGAGTAATCAGGTTTCTTTCCCGCTAGATAAGTTAACCTCTTCGGAATTTGTTTCAAATTTAAACTCATTTAAAAAAAATCATACTTTGCATAAATGAAAAGACACACACAAGGTTTAAGTAAAAAAAAAAAAAAAAAAAAAAAAGAACTGCTACATTGCATAAACAGAATTATAGGGCTTCATGATCCACTTTTTGAAAGTTAAGTTATTCATAAAATAAACAAATAGGAAGCTATGAACTATACATTAAAATATGTTAACCAATGTTTCTAATTGCTGAACTTTGCAGGTGCATGGTTTGGTTAACCACTGTTAAACCAAACTTTACTAATAAATTGCAGTGGGCAGAGTTGGTCCTTGGTTACACTCCAATCATAAGAAAGCCTGTTTCCAATTTTAAAATTCCAACTTAAGAAATACTACTTTTTTCATTAATGGATAAGGGAATTCTAAAAGCAAAGGGAATACCTCATATACTTAAGACTTAGGTTTCTCCAAGAACTCAGATTTTTGCAAAACTGATGACTAATATAGCCTTTATGTTAGGATTTAAAAAGTTGCCAATTCATTTGTCACCCAGTAATTATAAAGTTGGTTGACAGGCAACCCAGAAGGCAATGAACAGGCCTAACACACCAATACCCCCTTAAGTCCAAATGCACTGCTTAGTGGCAGTACACTCTGGCAAACCTCTAATCAAAACCAAGAAGAACTATCATTGTTAGAATTGTGAAAACAGTAGGATTATTGTTTGGGAGGGAAAGAGTAGAGGAATAATGTGAGCACAGAGAAAACAGAGGCTTAAAAATGTAAATAAAATATGCTGACACAGAAGAAAGAAAATGAAAAAGAAGTAGATGGGGGTCTGAAGACAGAAACTGAAGGGAAAATCTGAGGCCATCACCAAGACTGATAAAGCCAAGCTGAGGGCCTCCAAACAGCAAGAAAATGCATTTAAGACAATATATAAAATCTGAAGAAAAAAGAGTTAAGACTGACATACACAGTGAATATATATGTACTGACAGTGAAGAATCACCTAGAAATTAGGCACACAGAGGCCTTTAATATTAACCTGGCAAAATCTAAACATAGAGTATCTCTTGCATATACAGTATAAAAATACTATAAATAAAGTGGAAGTCTAATACAGCTATTTGGGAAAAGATCATGTGAGATGACTCAGAAGAGTCAACATAAACACAGGAAAGGAAACCACAGAGAGGCAAAAGCCGGCAGTGTCCAACTCAAGGAAATTCCAAAGAAAGGGTTCCCCAGCTCAGAGACTTGAGAAATCTAATCTCTTCTGGAGTAACTCAATTATGGGAAGAGATGCATCATAGCTCAACATGAATCATGCAACTAAAACCCCTTTCTGTTTTCTACATACCAAGCAGCTGATGGTCAGTAGACAGGAAAAGACTGTGTTTTACAATGTGAGTATTATTATGTATATTAGATATGTTTTTTAATAAACTAGCTTTATCATCACACAATCTCTTATACATATATTTAATATGAATTTATTTTTTAGAGAATTAGCTCTACTTCTGGGGTAAAAATTAAGCAAGTTTCTGATTTACAAAGCAGAGAGCAGACTTTGGTTCACAGAAAAAATTAAATGCTACTTGAATTCACTTTTGCCTAGCTATTTGTTAGCTGGCCAACTAGTTTGTGATAATTCACCAACTTTACTGTGTTTTTGAGTTAGTAACAAAAATCTATAGTTATTAGAAAATTGTTATTCTAAGAGCTAGTATTTTCCTAGATGAACTTGCAGTGTTAAGAAAAATCTAAGTATATCTATGTTTCTAAGAATACAGTAAGGGCCGGGGGCGGTGGCTCACACCTGTAATCCCACCCTTTGAGAGGCCGAGGTGGGCAGACTGCCTGAGGTCGGCAGTTCGAGACCAGCCTGGTGAAACCCTATCTCTACTAAAAAAATACAAAAATTAGCCAGGTGTGGTGGAAGGCACCTGTGATCCCAGTTACTTGGGAAGCTGAGGCAGGAGAACCCGGGAGGTAGAGACTGCAGTAAGCTGAGAGCATGTTACTGCACTCCAGCCTGGGCAACAGGGCGAGACTCTGCCTTAAAAGAAAAAAAAAAGAATACATTAAAACTTCTGGTTATTCATTACTTACCTATCAGATTAGTAAATACAAAAAAACTATGATAATGCATTCTGTGTATGAGGTTGTGAGCAAACAAATACACTGCTGGTAAAAATGCAAACTGGTTTACTACTTTGAAGGAAACCTTGGCTATACTTTTTAACAAATGTCCTACTTCTAGGAATCTACTCAGAAGACACATTCTCAACAATAGGAAAAGGCTACACACAAGATTATGCATTGCAGCATTTTAACAAAATGTAGCATGAGAAAGAAAATAATGTATAAATTTGTAAATAATAATAAAGCATATAGCAACGTAGTATTTTAAATCAATGCAGAAGATCTGTAGGTATTACACAGATAAACCTTGAAAAGTAACACTGGTAAATAAAATACAGTAGTTCCTGCTTACCAGCAATTTTGTTGTCAGTGGTTTCAGTTATCTGCAGTCGGACACATGGTCCAAAAATATTAAGTGAAAAATTCCAAATCTAAATAACTCATAAATTTTAAATTGTGCCCCACTCTGAGTAGCATGATGAAATCTCTCACTGTACTACTCCATCCCATACAGGATGTAAACCATAGTTTTGCCCAGTGTATTCCTGATGTAGCTGTTACCTGCCCATTACTGTACAGAAAAAAAAAATACTGAAGACAGAGTTTGGTATTATCTGAAGTTTTAAGCATACACTGGGGGTCTTGGAACATAACCCCCATAATTTGTAAAGAAATATGCAGTTTAAAAGTCTACAATGCAATACTATACACTGCGTATAGATATGTATATTACTAAAATTGTGAAAAATGTAGAAGAGAAAAACACACACCAAGAATAATAATTACCTCTGAGGTAGAAAAGAAGATGGGTAGAATTAAACATTAAGATATAGCAAAACACTGACATTTCCTAAACAATACAAAGTAGATTACGAGAACATGTTACATTATTTTCCATATGTTTGAAGTATTTTATACTTAACAAAATCCTTGGGTTTCTTTTTTGTCTCTTTTTGAGAAAAGGTCTGTCTCTACTGCCCAGGCTGGACCACAGTTAAGAGATCTTGGCTCATTACAGCCTCCAGCTGCTGGGCTCAAGCCATCTTCCCACCTTAGCCTCCCGAGTAGCTGGGACTACAGGCATGTACCACCACATTTGGCTAATTTTTCTGTATTTTTTGTAGAGATGGGGTTTTACCACGTTGCCCAGGCTGGTTTCAAACTTGTGAGCTCAAGTGATCTGCCTGCCTCGGCCTCCCAAAGTGCTGGGATTACAGAGTGAGCCACTGTGCCTGGCCAAAATTATTGTTTTATAAAGAGGACCCTAATTTTGTCACATGGATGATAACTTAATGTTGATTAGACTTTTTATTTCTGATGAGCAACAATTTTTTAAAAAATCTAGAGTGCTTACTAATTATCTACAATTTAACCATTATTGAGCATATGCTGCCACCTAGCAAAACTTCCCCGAACAGTTTAATAACTAAACACAAACTGGTTTTCTTACAAACAGCCTCTAATTTAATATTTCAGAAAAAAATTATTAAAAAGTACTATGTACCTAAACATGACATAGGAGTTTTGTAACTTCATAAGCGCAAACAAATATGGTTCTTGGCATTCTTATGTTTTACCGTATGTGGAGGAAACTCATTTTGTTCTCTTGCACTTTAGTTTCTATCTTTACTGTCTCACAAGAAATGAAAGCAATTTTTCTAATGGGCTTATTGGTAATTTGCTATCAAAGAATAAAATAATGCCAGTTTTATACATAGGCCTTTGGCCTTTCTATGAAATTAAAGTACCCCATCAGATTGCTTCATCTCCTAATTCTGATTTTTACATACCACTGCTGCCTAAAGAAAACAGATGACTTGAGAAAAATCTAGCTCTAGTTTTGCAAAATATTTACTCACTAAATACGATGGCACTATTGTTTTCAATTATGCATTTCTCCTTCTCTAGTTATAATGAAAAGGGAGGGGAAAAAAAGTCAGCATTTAGGAGATTTTCCCTCTCATTTGAACATTAGTTGACAATTATGCTATCCATGCTTTCATCTGCCCAATATATATTTACTTTATTACCTGTAGACATGGTACTGTGCTGGAGGCGAGGGAAGCTGCTATAAAAAGGAATTAAAAATTCTCTCTTCAAAGTACCAAAAATATGCAACAAACAATCAACATAAAGTAAAAAGTGATGGTTTATTTTTTAGAAAAGTAAAGATAAATTTCTACTTTAGTTCACAAGAGTAAATGTACTCTAAGAACCTGGAGTCAGGAAGTACTTACCAAATTGGTCAGCTTCTATCTTTGGAAAAAAAATTTTATAAATTATTAAGGGTAGGAAATATTGAAAGTCAGCACAACATAATGGGTGCCTCTGCAGGCAGGCTTTTATTTTCTCAGAAGACACTCTGGGAAATTAAATACACTGTAAAATGAGACTGCCATATACCTTTTGTAAAGAAAACTACAGTAGCTGCACTAGGATTCTAGTGGTGATGGAAAAGAAATGAAATGATCTGAAAGTGAATTCAAATTATTTTTAGATACATTTTCTCCTTGAAGAAGTCGTTAATTCATTTCTTCTGCCTATTTTCTGAGATGGTTTCCTCTTAATTTCTATGAGGTATTTTATATTGAGGGCACTGGGCCTTTGTCATATTTGCTGTATTTTTTTTTTTCTAGTTGGTTGTCCTTTTTCTTTCTTCGGTATGTTATTCAATTTTTATGCAGATAAATCTATAACTGTCTTTCCTTTTGTGGTTTTTCCACTATTTTAAATTATATCCTCCATCATCTCCACTTTTTTCTGTCCTTTTTATCACCTTCACATTAGAACACACTAGACTTCAGTGGTGGATGTGTGTAGTTCCTGATTTCATAAATTCATTTAATCGTATGTTATACATGATAGGCACAAAAACACAGAAGACAGAAATAGGTACATAAGTGTTTCCAAAGGAGAAAGCAATTTGGGTGCACAAAGAAAAGACACATAATCCAAATTGAGGTGAGTTAATGAAGGTTTCCTAAAGGTCAAATTTTAACTGTTTTGAAAAGAACTGAAGTTAGCTAAGTGGAAAAAGAGTCTTAAATGACTTATTCCCTGTCATTTCCATCATCAAAGTCATTACAAAATTTGATATGATGCTCCCTAGCGTTGAAATCCCAAGGACATTACTTTGATCTTTCATACATCACAGGTAACCTCATGGAAAATAGCCCACCAAATGCTTTCTGGCACAAAGCATAAACTTGATGCACATTTATGAGTAAACAGTAACTCTTTTCAGCTTCCCTCATCAGCATATCCAGTACTCCACTGGAGTTCACATCAAGTTCCCGTCAGTCAAGAGTTACCTATTCCTATATTACTCACAGGTTTTTCTGTTACTACCCCTTTCCTGCTTATATTAGTCCCTCTGCCTGGAATAACTTCTTCCCCTTTACCTAATCACTGACTGCAGTTCCTGTCTAAGATCCTTAAAGACCAAGGACAAACATCAACCACTTCATTTTTCCGCCTTTGAAAACCTTTCTGCATTACTAGTTCTTGGGGATATTCTTCACACATTGTTCTGTAACATGGGTGGGTGTTGCTTACCTCTCTTGAGTATAGTTTACTAGAAAATATGAAACATCCCTTACACTACTGTGTGTAATCTAAACAGTGACTTGCTCATACATGGGACAAAGAACTTCCTTGCTGTATGTAACTGTAAGGTCCTTACTCGATCCTTACGTTTCCAGCTTACTTTAAGACTTCGGTTGATATTACTTCATTAGATAGAGGCAGAAACCAGAAGGCGGTAAGTGGTAGAAATAGTATTTTGTTGACATTAGCACTATATGGAAGTGACGGTGGTGAGAACAAATATCTGACGAGAATGGACTGAAGAAACAAGCAGAAAAAAAGAATAGGAGACAGCAAATACAAACAGCTCTTTATTGAAGCTCTGCTGTAAATGGAAGTAAAGGAATAGGACGGTAACTGGAGGAGGAAACGAAGTACTGAGCATACAGTCTCATTGAAGATCAGCAATTTCTTAGAAGCTACAGTTCTTCATTTCTCCCCTTCATTTTTGACAGGCAATAAGGAGCTGGTAATGTGTACTGAAAGCTTATTAAGGATCAGGCACTTGCAAACACTTTACGTATCTCAGTTAATCTCACAACAGCCCTGGGACTTGTCCCAGGGTTTACGGACAAGAATATTGAACACACAGGCTAAAGGATCTTCCCAAAGTCTCATAGACATAAATTCGTGGGACCTGACAAATGTCTCTCACTTTAGTCACCCAGAGACGGAGAAGGGAAATTACCGGTTGCCAAACTCCAAGTTGAGGGAAACCGGCCTGGGCCCATCACGAAAGTTCCTCCAGACGCACCCTTTATCCCCGCCTCCGACCACGCGTCTCAGAAGAGCTGATTTTGAGTACCCTCAAAGTCAGCCCCACAGGTTCCTCAGCCTCGGCGCTTACCTCGTTATTGAGGTTCAGAGTTCCCGGCAGAGGCATGGTAAATGGAGGAATATGATCCGCCGCCGCCTGCACGTGAACTGGGCCTGTCAGATCTCGGCTGCGTTGCCACGCCTCTCAACGGGGGCCTCTCAGGCCCAAAACTCATCCGCCGTCTGCTCTAGCTGCCGCCCGGGAAAAAGAAACGTTGACGCTCGGAGGGGAAAACAGGAACTGAATTAGAGCAACTTCCGGCGCAGAGGGCGACGCGACGGAAGTGCGCGTTCCTATAGAAACCAGACGGGCTGATAGCTGGGCAACGTCAAGGTTTTCAAGGTGTGTGTGTGTGTGTGTGTGTGTGTGTGTGTGTTCGCGTGTTCACTTAGTACACTGAGCCCGCTGTGTGTGTATCTGTGTTCGCTTAGTACACCGCGCCCGCTGGGCAACGTCAAGGTTTTCAAGGTGTGTGTGTGTGTGTGTGTGTGTTCGCGTGTTCACTTAGTACACTGAGCCCGCTGTGTGTGTATCTGTGTTCGCTTAGTACACCGCGCCCGCTGGGCAACGTCAAGGTTTTCAAGATTATGCGTGTGTGTGTGTGTGTTCGCGTGTTCGCTTAGGGTTTTCAAGATTATGTGTTGTGTGTGTGTGTGTGTGTTCGCTCAGTACACTGCGCCCGCATTGTACTGGCCTTGGTTTTTCTCTCCTAATGGCGAGGGGTCGCTCGACGGCGGTGAAAGAGCTCTTGTGAAGTGATCAAGCACTTGAATGAACGAATTTTTGCTTCCATTTTAATAATCTAGTATTTGTGAAGATTTCTGCTTTTCTAAGAAGCGTGCCTTTTTAGATCCTGACAGCTTTTTGTTCCAACCTCACATTAGCTGAGGTGTGGACATTTTTTTCCTGCACACTATAGAAAGGTTTAAATTTAGGGAATCAACATTTGAAACAAAACCAGAATGCACATTTGCTACTGCCTGTGTGAATGGCTGTTTAGAAATATTAGCCGGCAGGCATAGGAAACGGAAGGGATTGTGTTTGAATTAGGTAATATGTAATTGTCAGCACCTTCTAGTATTCACCATTAAAATGTGTCAAGTGTTGTCCCAAGAGCTTTACATAAATTAGCTTCAAATCTCCACAGAAATCCAACAAGATAGGAATTATTATTCTTTTATTATTATTTTGTTAGAGACCCGGTCTCTCCCTGTCACCCAGGTTGGTGTGCAGTGGCACAGTCATAGCTCTCACTGCCGCCTAGAACTCTTGGGCCCAAGCCGTCCTCTAATTTCAAGCTTCAAATAACTGGGACTGCAGGCGTGAGCCACCCTACTCTGCTCTGAACTGTTATTTTACAGATGTGGAAATTGACTTCAGAGACACCAAGTGCCTTGCCCAGAGTTACTTGCCTGGGACTGGCCACTGCTACAGGATTTCAGGTCCAGTTACATAATATGTGGGGTACAGTGCAAAATGAAAATCCAGGTCCCTTCATTCAAAATGCAGGAAATTTCTTCCATAGTTCCTCTTGACTCTTCGTGGTGTTTTTTATTGACTATTTAATGTGATGTTCTCTAAAGTACAGAGACACTAGGTTAAGAGGGAGAGCCCTGCCCCAAGACTCAGGTAGGAGTGCATGCACTGGAGCAAGGTGGCATCAGTTGCTGAGTGGGGACAGGAGAGCAGGAAACCAGAGACTCTACCACAGGAGGCTGTCTGGACAGGACCACACATGACCTGAGGCAACAAGCCCTTGGCACATGTTCCATTATCCCACTGGGCTTCACTTACAAGTATACACTTTGCATATAAATACATAAGAAGAAATGTTAAATAATCAAGATAAATATAGAACTTTGTGGAAAATGTGTCTTCTAATTTGGGAGAAAGGAGTTATTATGATCCCATAATGCTTCAGAAAATGTATCATTAATACAAAATTTGCCTGTAGTTCTGAAAAGCTGTGCAGTCATTTCTCTTGACTACCTCTTTTTCTCCCTAAAATTTCAGTTCTTAAACCACCAGTCTCCTCAGGATCAGCACTTGCTTGCTTTTTTCCTCCTTAGCCCATGCTGTCTCCTTTAGCTATGATACTTCCTCCGCTATCTGCTTTCTCAGTGCTACTTCTCAAGACCAGGTCAAATTCCATCCATCTCTTTTAAGAATTATTTCCACAGCCCCAAAGATAAGTTTAATTTTGCTCACCAGTGGCTCATACTTATAGTAATTATGATAGTCTAATGTGAAATTCTTTGTGTATTGGTTATTCTTTTACATTAAAAGCTCTCAACAACTGTAGGTACTCTTGTTTTTAAGGAGACTGGTATTGTCCCATTTTCACAATATTAATGTGAAATCATTTGTTCCAGATATATCACTTCTAAGTCCAAAGTCAATCTTCCTACTTCTTGTTTCCACAATCTCAAAAATTATTTTGTTTGATAACAAAGGTAGTTAGTTCTACTAATTGGCTTTCATTAAGCTATGCCCATTTTCTCCAGTAATAATAATGTATTTGTATTAATTAGGCTGAAAGTTTCTCTAGAAAGCAAACTGTCTCCCTGTTTTATTCATGGGGGTCTGACCTGGGTCAATTAAATACTGTCAGATGTATGCAATGACAAAGCCATTATAATTGAAAGCAACTCGTTTGAAACTTTTATCTTTTTAGTGCAGTGCTCCAATTAGTGGAACTAAGGGTCCATAAACACATTCAATAGAGATTCAAGTTTTTCAATGTCAAGTTCCTCAACAGCTTCTCAGATCCCACTGTATTAGTCTGCTTGGGGTGCCATACAAAATACCGCAATCTGGATAGCTTGCACAGCAGAAATTTATTTACGATGCTAGAAGTCCAAGATCAAGGTACCATCAGGATTAGGGATTAGTTTCTAGTAAGAGCTCTTTTCTTTGCTTGCAGATAGCCACTGTTTTGTGGCTACAACCTCATGTTACCTTTCTGCTGTGCACATGCAGAGAGAGAGAGCTCTCTGGTGTTTTCTTCTTCTTATAGTGGCACATATCCTATTGGATTAGAGTCCTACCATTATGACCTTAAGCTTAATTACACCCCCAAAGGTTTTATCTCTGAAATAGCATCATATTGGAGGTTGGGTCTTCAACATGTGAATTTGGATGGTGGGGGAAATAATTCAGTTCATAACTCTCACTTTCCTTGAGAATTCTTCCATGGTTACATCAAAGTAATCTCTTTCTTATCTAACATGCTGCATTACTGCTATTCTCATTTTGCACTTTTCTTAAATTTTAGTCATACATTTCTTGATTACAACTAAACATGGATGCTTAGCAATCAGAATAAAAAAGCACACTCACACATATGTGAACAAATGATTTTTGAGAAAGTTTCAAAGGCAATTCTGTACGGAAAAGGTAATCTTCTCAACAAATCGTGCCTGAAAAATTGGATATCTATATGAAACACACACACACGCACATACACCACTTTCACCCATATGTAACACCACCTAGTAAAACAACTCAAAATGGTTGAGTTTATATATAAATGTAAAACCAATAAAACTTCAAGAAGAAATCATAGGACAAAAACTTTGTACTATGAGGAACTACATACTAATTAATTGGAAAACTTAGAAGAAAGGATGAATTCCTAGACACATACAATGTACCAAGATTGAACCATGAGAAATCAAAAACCTAAATAAACCAATAACCAGTGATAAAATAGAAGCCTTAATAAAAAGTTTTCCAGCAAAGAAAAGTCTGGGACAATGGCTTCACTGCTGATTTTTACTGTGCACTTAAAGAAGAACTAAGAACAGCCCTAAACTATTCTGAAAAAATAGAAAAGAGAATACTTCCAGAGTCATTCTTTGAATCCAGTATTATCCTAATACCAAAGCCCAAGACACATCTATAAAAGAAAACTACAGACCAATGTATCTGATGAGCACTGATGCAAAAGTCCTCAACAAAATACTAGCAAACAGAATTCAACAGCATATTAAAAAGATCATTCATTGTGACAAAGCAAGATTTATCCCAGTGATGCAAGGATGGTTGAACATATGCAAATCAATCGATGTGATACATTGTATCAACAAAAAGAATGACAAAAAATGATAACTGATGCTGAGAAAACATTTGATAAAATTCGACATTCTTTCACAATAAAAACTCAACAGAGTATAGAAAGAACATATCTCAACATAATACAAGCCATGTATGACAGAAACACAGCTACTATAATAATGAATGGTGAAAACTTGAAAACCTTTCTGCTAAGATCTGGAACAAGACAAGGATGCCAACTTCCACCACTGTTACTCAACATAGTAATGAAAGTCTTAGCTAGAGCAATCAGACGAGAAAGAAAGAGCATCCAAATTGGAAAGAAAGTAAAATTATCCTAGTTTTTCAGATTAAATGATCTTACATTTGGAAAAGCAACATCTCCACCAGAAAGATATTAGAACGGATAAATTGAGTAAAGTTGCAGGAAACAAAATCAGCATACGAAAATCAGTAGCATTTCTGTGTTAAGTGAACCATCTGAAAAAGAAATCAAGAAAGTAATCCCACTTATAATAGCTATAAATAAAATTAAATACCTAGGGATAAATTTAACCAAAGAAGTGAAAGATATCTACAATGAAAATTTTAAAACATTGACACGAAACTGAAGAGGACGCACACAAAAATGGAAAGATATCCCATGTTTATGAATTGGAAGTATCAATATTTTTTAAATGTTTGTACTACCCAAAGCAACCTACAGATTCAATGCAATTTCTACCAAAGTATCAATGACATTTTTAACAGAAATAGAAAAAACAATCCTAAAATATATATGGAACCACTAAAGACCCAGAATAGCCATAGCTAGTCTAAGCAAAAGGACTAAAACTGGAAGAATCACATTACCTGGCTTCAGATTATTCTACAGAGTAACCAATATAGTATGGTACTGACACAGAAATAGACACACAAACCAATGAAACAGAACACAGAACCCAGAAGTAAATCCACACATTTCAGTGAACTCAATTTGGACAAAGGTGCCAAGCACATGCATTGAGAAAAGAACATTTTCTTTAATAAATGCTTCTGGGAAACAGGATATTGATGTGCAGAAAAATGAAACCAGACCCTCATCTCTCACTGTATATAAATATCAAATCAAAATGGATTGAAGACTTTAAGACCTGAAATTATGAAACTATTAAAAGAA